CCCCCATATCTATAGGATCAATATCCACAGTTTCACTCATCCACGGTCTGAAAACATGAAAGGAAAAAAATCCAGAAAAAAACACATTTTTCACATGTATTAGCAGAACTGGCCACTAGAGGGAGTGAGAAACCATGCTTTGAATACATGTTAGTGAAGAACACATAGCATGGTCTCTGGTGCCCTCTGATGGCCAGTTTTGGCAAAGTATGTGAAAATATTTTTTCTGGGTTTTTCCCCTTTTACCTTGCTTGCTTGCTATCTATCTATCCCTCTAGTGGCCAGTTCTTCTTTTCTTTTCTTTTCTTTTCTTTTCTTTTCTTTTCTTTTCTTTTCTTTTCTTTTCTTTTCTTTTCTTTTCTTTTCTTTTCTTTTCTTTTCTTTTCTTTTCTTTTCTTTTCTTTTCTTTTCTTTTCTTTTCTTTTCTTTTCTTTTCTTTTCTTTTCTTTTCTTTTCTTTTCTTTTCTTTTCTTTTCTTTTCTTTTCTTTTCTTTTCTTTTCTTTTCTTTTCTTTCTGTATTATCCATGGTTCTCAGTATCTGCAGGGGGCTTAAAATCAATCCCCAGCAAATATGGGAGCCCTAAAGTATTTAGATACAGAATGTATCATCAAGCTTCTGATCTTTATCTTCCACTCTTAGCTGAAATAATATAAAATAATCTCTAGGTAGAAATGCCATCTTATAAAACCTCTTTTCCCTGGGCATGTACCTTTAGGGTTATTGATATCGCAGCTTTAGTCTGGAAAAATGGCTTCTTTGAACTACAGCTCACAGAATTCTATCCTTTCAGCAGGAATCCAGAATTTCATGGAAGCATCAACCAGTCCTAGTTACATGTTTCTTTCTAGCGTTTGTAGGTGTGGGACTGGATACTCTGAGGAAGCACGTATCCCAGGCCACCTTACACGTGGAATGGTCTCCTGTGATAATATTTATTATAGTAAGATCCAAACACACAAAGCCCCACAAACTCCACCCACTTCATTCCCAAAAAAACCCCACAATATTTCAAATATCAGAAAAGGAGGTTTCATGCAGAGATTTCTTGGAAATGCAGAAGCGGGTTTTATCGTTATCAGACTGTTAAGAAACTAAAACAAGAGACCTTGGTTGTATCTGCTAACAGGTGAATTTGGAAACAGTAGGTTCAGCAGCATTGCTAAATTCCTCTGGGAAGATGGTTAAATCTACAGTCGTGCACTGCTTTACAATTGCCCTGTATTACAACGAAACCACATTATGACAATCTTTTTGTGATCGATTTTGCGATCACAAAATGATGGTCTGAATAGGGTTTTTTCGCTTTGCGATGATCGGTTCCCTGCTTTGGGAACTAATTCTTCACAAAATGACGATTTTCCTACAACTGATCGGCGGTTTCAAAATGGCCGCCGGGTAAATAAAATGGCTCCCCACTGTTTTCTGAGCCGGATTCCTCGCAAGACAGCCACCGAAAAGGAGCGCCCTATGGAGGATTTTTGCTGGTCGGTGAGTTTTTAGCCCATTGGAACGCATTGAAGGAGTTTCAATGTGTTTCAGTGGGCTTTTTATTTTCGCATTATGACATTTTCATTTTACAGCGATTTCGCTGGAACGAATTAACATCTTAATGCGAGGCGCCACTTTATAGTTTAAAAAAATGCCCTACTGTACCATGGATCTCATTTTAAATAAAACAGCAAACAACCTTCGAGCAATCTTTGTTTCAGATTTTTTTTTTGAAGAGCAAACCGTCCATCTTCCTACTCGGAAGCAAAGCCATTAATTTTCTACCCCAATATGCAAAGGGTTGCCACTTGAATAATTCATCTGGACAAAGAGAAATAATGTGCTAATTAAAAAATGATTAAAATCTTTTTTTTAATTAAAAAAAGTAACTGTAGGGTAAAAAGAGAGAGAGAGGATGATGAACCGTTCCATCTGTTAAATCTCTGCATTGTACGAGCTTGTGAAGCAGAATGAACTTCCACGTCCAAGGAGCCAGTCATCATTATAGATTATAATGTGATTTTTATGCTTCACTTCTGGCGCATGTTGAGTGTTTATTTTCCCCTCTAGCCGGCAGACATTGTGGCAGCCCTTCACTGTTCTCCTTCTTGAGGCAGTGACCTTCTTGTGACCTTGGTCAGAGATTTGGGTGTCTTAATTAGTACCCTTGTGCACACTGTAGAAACTCATCACTTTATTAGCCGCCAGCGGTGATTGTCTTCCCTCGTAATGTTCAGTCTTTCTGCTGCCAGCCTGAACTGTGGCTGACCAGTATGAACACGACCATCTTTGACTAAGAACGAATTTCAGCAAATTGCCTAATATGAGGTCTCTCCAAACTCTGAGCAGCTATCATGGGAGTTATGGAAGCTTTTGAATAACAGAAATAATGGATGGGGCCCACGCTGTAGATATAGAGGCCTTCCAGCTGTTTTCCCCTCCCAAGGGTTATCTGTGAGTTTAAATTTTAAATTACTAGCTGAAATCCTGTTGTACTCTCCCAACCCAGAGTCAGTGGCATAGCCTTCAGCAAGCTTAGGAGCTGCATTCGCGAAGGCTTTCACGGCCGGGATCTAATGATTGTTGTGGGTTTTTTGGGCTCTTTGGCCGTGTTCTGAAGGTTGTTCTTGCTAACGTTTCGCCAGTCTCTGTGGCTTAGGAGTTGTTGTAGGCATTGCTCGTTGCCCACTGAGTCACATGATCAGTGTGTGACTGGAAATACCTATGACAACTTCTTATTTGAGGTAATTAGCCACTGATAGGATTCTGGCCTGTACCTGCATCTTTACTCTCTTTTTTTTTTCCGGGGACAGAATATAATTACTTATTGCATATCAGATGGCAAGGTGGATCTAAGGGCCATGAGTGAAAAGGTCCATTTTTCACTCATGACACCTTTTGGCACCTTAGTTGCACAATGTCTTCCTCAAACAGACAGAGCCACCTGTTAATGGGGTTTTGACAAATCATGGCAGATATTACTCCCCGCCCCATCGGATTAGCTGAGCTTCTTCTTTCCCAGCATTTGCACACACAAAAGCACCTCTGGAAATCCAGGGTCTCAGGTGCAACAACCCTTGCATATGAAATATTGTGGTGTTGGAGGAGACTCTTGAGAGTCCCCTGGACTGCAAGGAGGACAAACCCATCCATTCTGAAGGAAATCAACCCGGAGTGCTCACTGGAAGGACAGATCCTGAAGCCGAGGCTCCAATACTTTGGCCATCTCATGAGAAGACTCCCTGGAAAAGACACTGATGTTGGGAAAGTGTGAAGGCAAGAGGAGAAGGGGACAACAGAGGATGAGATGGTTGGACAGTGTCATCCAAGCGACCAACATGAATTTGACCCAACTCCGGGAGGCAGTGGAAGACAGGAGGGCTTGGTGTGCTCTGGTCCATGGGGACACGAAGAGACGGACACGACTTAACAACTAAACAAGAACAACAAAGGCAGCTAAATCACTCACACTGTATACATGGTATGCACAAACATGTTTTGTGCTTCTTTTAGTGACAGCTAAAGTTTCTAGTAGTTGGTGGATACGCACTGGTGTTATGAATAACTTCTGCCCTTCATTGGCAAAATTGTATTAAATCGTGCAAAGTAAATAAGGAAGCTTGTTGTTGTCAAAATGACATGCTATTAAGTTGTTTCTGACTAAGGAGACTCTAATATGGTTTTTGAGATACATGAGATGTTCATGTAGTGGTTTACCATTACCACCACCATCCAGTGAATGACCGAGGATTTGAACACAAGACTTTTAAGTCCCAGCCAACACTCTGCATTACACCATATTGAGGCTCAGTTTTTTTTCTTGATTTAAAAAAAAAAAATTCTGCAGAATGCTGGTTTTTCTGGGTACAAAATTTCAAATTTGGGGATCACCTGAAACCACAGGTCTGAACATTATAAATGGATCAAAAATCAGCCCAATGAAAGAGTAGAACGGGTTGACAAGTACTTGTCAGCCTGGAGTATTACTTTACTTTACTTTTGTTAGATTTTTACCCTACCCCCCCTAGACAAAGTCTACTCGGGCGGCTTACACACATAATAAAAACATCACAATATAACAAATATCATAAAATCATTTAAAACACCATAATTTTAACACTTATTTTAAATCATTGCCAAGATTAAATAATTTAGAAGAGAAAGAATAGAGATCAGTTAATTGACTGGAGGGAAGGCCTGCCTAAAGAGCCAAGTTCTTAAAGGGCTTTTAAAAATCTGCAACTGCTTTCAGTACTGTGTGAAATGTCTTGATATTGTTCCCAAAGCCCCAAGTGGGGGACCACTGAAGTGTGTTTGATTCACAGGTGAGATGTTTCGATTGCCAGGTTTCTGTACTTTGTTAGTTTTTCCAATTCTTTATTTTCAACTCTGGCATTCCCTGGAATTGCAATGTCAATGATCCAGACCTTTCTTCATTCTATTACTACTATGTCTGGTGTGTTGTGTTCAAGGTGTCTATCCATTTGGATCTGGAAATCGCACAAGATCTTGACTTCCTATTCTCTTTCTTCTTCCTCTTCAAAAAACTCCAGGCACAGTCAAAATTCTAAAATCATTGACTGCTATTATAAAACAGATACAAGTTTTAACAAAAACCCTAAGTATCTGTTAAATGTATTCTCGAAGGATTTCACGGCCGGGATCCGATCGTTGTTGCAGGTTTTTCAGGCTGTTTGGCCGTGTTCTGGAGGTTTTTCTTCCTAACGTTTCACCAGTCTCTGTGGCCAGCCTCTTCAGAGTTCTAACTCCTGTCCTCTGAAGAGACCGGCCACAGAGACTGGGAAACATTAGGAAGAAAAATCTCCAGAACACGGCCAAATAGCTCAAGAAACGTACAGCAACCATCAGATCCCGGCCGTGAAAGCCTTTGAGAATATAGTGTGTTTTTTGTTGGTTGCTTCCAGAACCTCTGTTATTTCCTGCTGAGCAGTTTTTGCTGGATTACTTTTGACTATGTGTCCTTGAGTGGTCTTTTCCTCCTTTATCCAGGCGTCTGTTGCTGCTGTGCCGCCTTGCGTCCTCGCTACAAGCGTCTGGTGGATAACATCTTTCCCGAAGACCCAAAAGTAAGTGATGCCACCCAGAAGCCACATGGAGGCAGCTCAGCAGTTCAACGTAAATTTAATACTAGTCTCCACTGTCCCCCTAAGATTTCACAATCCCTTATGACCTGAATTTCCATAAATATTTTCCATTGTTCCTTACTTATTTCCTCATAGTAATCGACTTGCCCTTTGGGCTGGGTTCCCTCTGAGCTTGTTAGATCTCAACCCTCTATCCCCACCCCAAACTCTGCTTGAACACAGTGACCCGAGTCATGTCACAAATGTGTATTTCGAGAAAGTAAGTGGTGTAAGTCATAGCAGTTTCTTACTGGTAACGAACAAGTCGCCTCTTAAGAGTTTTGAGTGCCCAACACCGCTTAGATTCGCAAATCTCATCACCGGCCACAAATTGTCACTGTTTAAAGGTTTTAATTTCGAAACTTCAGAGTGCGAACGGCTTTGTTGCATTGTGTTCAAGTCAGGTTCACCCTAAAATCATGTTTTGTCAGCAGCAATTTGCCCTTAATGAGCAGCAGTTTCCTGCTGATGGGAGATTGTAGCCAATATTTTGTTACTGATTTTATTCTTTTATGCTAGCTACTGTGATGAACTGTGATAGGGACGTAGTGGCGCTGCGGGTTAGACCACAGAAGCCTCTGTGCTGCAAGGTCAGAAGACCAGCAGTCGTAAGATTGAATCCACGCGATGGAGTCAGCTCCCATCGTTCGTCCCAGCTCCTGCCAACCTAGCAGTTTGAAAGCATGCAAATGTAAGTAGAGAAATAGGTACCACAATGGTGGGAAGGTAACGGCGTTCCGTGTCTAGTTGCAGTGGCCACATGACCACAGAAACTGTCTACAGACAAACGCTGGCTCTATGGCTTGGAAACAGGGATGAGCACTGCGCCCTAGAGTGAAATGTCATGGGGAAGCTTTGCCTTTTACTGTGATGAAATATTGAAAGGGAGGACACGTACAAAATAATACCCTTGAAAAATGCAGATCGATGGAATCTGCTCTTTGAAATAATTATTTGTCAGCCAATGAATGGCAATCCGTAATAATACTGCAATTAATTTCTGTCATTTGCTTTATTTTGTGGTGGGTTCTTTTTTTAAAAAAATAAATAAATCTAAATACACTTTCTGTCGAGGGAGGTAGAGTTTGTAATATCTTGCACAAGAGATGTATGGAGGATAAACAGCATTGTATTGTTGTTCCAGTGGATACACTGCCCCAGGTATTTCCCGAAACTACAAGTCCCAGGAGTCCAGAGGATGGAGCCATGGCAGTTAAAGGCTAATCAAAAGGCCATAGATGTATAATATAGATACAGCCTACATTCGTATCAATTTGAAAAGGCACAGTTCATCCATAAAAATCCCAGCACTCTAAATTCTTACGCTTTTGACTATAAATTTACACTGCCAGTGCATTTA